CTTGTAGTCATAAGATAGAGTTTCTTTCCTTTGACCTTAGGGCTACCGAGGTTCCCGTGGATGATGCAATTCACGGATTGCTGACCGGGGATTTCAGGACGTGTTGGGTCGACTACCTTCACGACCAGGTAGACTTAGGGTCCTAGTAGCTGTGTATGACGGGTCCGTGGTACCCCGACCCAGTTTCCTCTACCTTTTAGGATTACTTTTCCTTGCCTTTTTGTTGAGCCCCTTTGAGCCCTGTCACTTCTTGACCTCGTTGATATCACATTGACGGCCCAATGCCGATGAGTTGCCGCCCATTTGGGATACGACGATTTGTCCTCTGCCCTTTGGCCCGGATGTGCTTTGACGTATTGGGAGATCCCCGTTAAGATGATTTAGGTTATTTCGTGGGCCCCGTCTGCTGATTAGCCACTACCCATTTGGGATGTGAGAGACTTACTCTCTGCTCGATGGCTTAGTGTGAGCTTTGAAGTATTGGGACTGTTCCCACACGGAATAACCTTCCTTTGATTGCCTATACCCCAGGTTTATAAAAATATGAAGTGAAACTCCTTTTATCGAGAGTATTCTTGGGTATCCCCCAAGATGTAATTAACCAGTAGGAACACGTTCCTCTGGGAGTGCTCTTGACCCCAGAACAGGTACATACACCTGACTCTCTGGTTATGGGTAGTCTATGTAGATACTTCTTTCGCGGATATTGGTTTAAGGTGCTTCTACCCGATCTTGTTTGGGCGGACATTCTTAATATATTTTTGTGAGGTTTATCGCACATAGACTTTCCACGTTTTACTTTTTCTCTTGTTTGTCACTTTGTCGTATGTCCATTTTTATTCGATTCCTCTCCTCTTCAAATCATTCATATGGTTCGGGAGGGAGATTTATTCGAATGGGGGAAGTATACGACGATTGACAAGCTGGCGACTCCTTTTAAAATAAAAAAAAGAGAAAAAATAAACGAAAACACTCATGCCTATTAGTTGATACATCTGACATTGGAGTACAAAAAAGTTGGTCAGATTTGATATGAATTTCTTTAGAAACATGTATTTTTGGCGAGGGAGATTCAATTGGTAGAGGCTTGTTCACTTCTTTAAAAGTATAAACACTCTCCAAAAGTGGATATTGTTCAGTCTTTGTCTTTTCAGCAAATTCAGCCATCAAATCCAGTGGAAAATTATCGAGTGACTCTGAAACAGGCGCCAACAATGAGATCGGGTTTGGAACATGGCATGGGTCCTCAAATAACCCTACATCTTCTGAAACTGAACTCTGTTGTGGTTCTTTAAGTAGAGGGAATGTAGTTTCGGGCAAGGGATGAGAAAGTGGATTGTTAGTTAATAGAGTAGTTGTGGTAGGGGAGACCATGAATGGAGAAGCTGGACCAAATTGAACTTGGTTATGAATTGTGGTCGAGTAACTGGGCAGAAAACTGTGGTGGGATCGTTGATCTTCCGGTCCCGGAGCTAACAATTGGCCTGTTTTATGAGTTGTAGGATTTGAATCAGGATATGGAGAATCTGCTGAAGAACGAGGAAACAATTGTTGCCATGACATTTTAAAAACTGTTTTTGGTTGCACATCGGTGGTTGCCTGATGAAGAAAGAATTAAAAAAAGCAAAAAAATCAACATCTTAATTTTAAATAATTAAATCTCCATGGAATTCAAGGAAAAAAAAATAGTGTAACTAAGAACGTACGGTTTGACTTAATTTAGCCTCATAAGCATTTTCACCAGCACTGGAAGCAGATTTACCAACAGCACATGCCACAGGGTGAGCGTCTCTTCTTTTTACAGCATTTTGAGCATTATCTACAAACCCTGTGGCAGGCTTAAAAGACTTGCAAACAGCAGCAGATTTCTGCGCATTTCTTCCAAAGAAGGATGAGCCATCAAAGCCTCTAGAAGAAGATAAGGAATTACCTTTCATGCCGTCGAAATATCTGGGCTAATTCACCATGACCTTACTTCCATAAACACTATGCAAAGCTTGTGATTTATAATTATCTCCCATGCTCTTCTGCAGATCAAACCTTTCGTTCTCACCCTTCTTCAAAAACTCATTTTTCCTGCCATTTTGCTTGCTGGCCCTCTTTTCAAGCTCTTCGCCATCAGAATTGCTCTTGCAAGATGCTTTGTCCTTGTCTTTCCCTCGGTCTCTCCTCCTATCAATTTCCTTCCGACCATCTCTATCCCCGTCAAGAGTTAACCCCTTTGAACGATCCTTCTCGGCAACTATTTTTTCAACACGAAGTTTCCTCCTCTCCTCCACTAGCCTTGCAACCTCTTCTTTCTGCTTCCTGTCTTCCTCTTCCAGTATTTCCTTCTCCAACCTAGCCTGCCTCTTCTCCTCTGCCTTCCTTCTAGCTTTCTCCCCTCTACTCTCCTGGAAATTACCAAAAAACTCCCCTTTCTTTGGTGACACTCTATGATCTAAATCAGAAGACCTATCTTTCTTTGAGGAACCAAGCCTGAAAAACTTACCACAAAGCCACCTCCTAGTCGAGAAAAAAAAAAGAAAGCAGCTTGCAGGAAAACGTCATCACCCCAGAATAAGATCTCTCTGCTGAGCACCGATGATCACTTCCAGTCCAGTGCTTTGGAACGGAACCTACAAAACTGCAATTTCCATCAGCTTCACATAACCAACCATGCTTTCCAACAAGATCAGTAATCATTCCGGGACCTGCTGTTGGACCGGGAAGGTCAAGCATTGGTTTTCTGGATATATGACCGCAATATGAACACATGAAACGGCCACCACCAGGGGTCTGGTTGCGGTAAGGCATGTGGCAATTCCGACAGTGAAGAGTAGCTGATTTACGGCGTTTCAGAAGCTCGAGAGCCTCAGTGCGACGTCTCTCACGGAGGCGGGCAGCACGGCGATCCCGCCAACTGGAAAGTTGAGGCATTAAGACCTCATACCACAAGCGAGAAGCAAGGAGGACTGACACAGAGGCAAGCTGTGGTGATGTTATCTCAAATCGCAGGGCCGGTGGTAGGTGCTGTGAGAGAACCCATAGGACAATAAACGGGATCACACACCAAGGTAGCATGGTTGCGACCCGTCGAGACCACCTCTGTACCACACAAAGCATACACATTATTCAGAAGCTCTACGAATTAAAGAAATCAACAATGACAGAAACCCAAGGTAAAGTTCATGCGCCTTAACCTGTTATCAAAAATCGTCACTTCTTCAAAGGAGAAAAGGAATCAAAATATCCCTAACCCCGAATGAATGCAGCTGCTTCGTATTAGCAGTGTTTGTAGGTTATCGGCTGGAAAACCTAGATTAGAAACGGGTCGATTGGGGTTTCTTCAGCTCTGCGAAGAATTTTGCTGGCGGCCTGAACAAGTGTGGGTGATGGAAAGTGAGGATTATTCGAGTGACTTACGTAGTTCGATTTCGTTAATTGATAAAACCCTAGCATTGACGCTGGTCCCCATTCATGGATTCTGGGGAAGAAGAGGACGGAGAATATAGAAAAAGGATTGCCGAATTTATATGCTTCATGGCCGAGCTGATAAATGCAAAGGAGACTCATTTATTCATTTTCTTAATATGACAATTACGTACAGAAGATATAAAATATAGATATTTCTGTTTAGAGATGCCATGCTCAAATCATCAAGAATTTGATAAAATGAAACACATGGGTTAGGAGTTCATCATGCAATTTTGATATTTGAGTGAGAATTTGAAAAATAAATTAAAAAGGGTTGTTGATTTTTAGATTGAAAGTTTGGGATGGTATAGATGTAAATATGTAATTGCTCCCTTTCTTAATTTAACTAGCCTAATGAGATTAAAATTTTGATTAATTAAATATAATTATTAAATTAAGAAATTTATTTATTTATTTTTGAATTTAATTGTTCCACATTCTTCGCACATTTCAGAATTTTTATCGTGTAGTTTCTATTTTTAAAACTTTTCTCAGAGCCGAAGTTAGTCACTTCTTCTATGTGGGATAAAAACATGAAACACATTGTCCCCCGTCATTCTCTTCACTTTCTTCCCTTAGCCGGGAGGTGCTTGCCCTATTTAGGAGAAAATATTTTGTTCGGACACGGCTAACCAGCGGCAGCTACGTCGTCATAAATGTCATCGGCGGGCGACATGGTCGCTGGTAGTTGGTCGTCCAGACGTGTGTATGTCTGGACAAAATCACCTAATCTTCTAGTAAAAATATGATATTTACGTACATATCAACCCAACACTATGTATTTACTTATATAACTTTTAAAGTTTTTTTTTATTATTATTATATCGCACAAATAATTTTTAAAAATAATAAAATTTAATGGTTTTTAAATACATATAAAGAATATATAAGTAAACATTTTTATTTAATTGTTTCATTTATTTGAGTTAAAATGAACCGAACACAAACAATAAATATTTGTTAGTACTCGCCTCGTTTATAAATTGAGCTAAAAATAATCGTTCCTTTTCGGCTCACTTGCTTAGCGAATGAATTAAACGTGATCTGTTTAACGAACGAAACACGGACTCTTCGTAGACGAGTTTTTTTGACAACCCTCTTAATAAATTTATGATTGTTTTGATATGACATATCATTTTATTAATGCATAAAAAATGTGTTTTAATTTTTAAATTTTAAAATAATAATAATTTTATTTTTCATATGATAGAGGAAGATTGAGTGGTATAAATATAAAAAAACAAAATTTTAATTATTAGGTATGTGAATACAAAGGAATTAGGTGGCATGTATTTAAAAGATCCTATGGTTATTTATTTAAAAGATCCTAGAGTACATCAACATTTTAGTGAGTTCCTCAAAATAGGTCTACCCAACCATGATCGTCAAGCGAGCTCTTCCAGTGAAACTCCCCTGCACTAACTGTGTTCTTATTCCATGCTCATATGATCTGGTTGGACCTTCTGACCAAACTCCCTGACTACTACCTACTTACACCATCGAGCTCGATGATGAGCAACTCTCTGTGATTGAAGGAAAAGAATTATCTTCTGTCAGAATTATTTATTAACAACATGATAATCCATGCTGGCAGTCTTCTCGACAACGAGTCTTCTCAGGCTCCATACTAAATATATAATATCTTGACACATTTATTCACAAAAGCACAACTCACATACACGCACACACACGAGCAACATAAAAAGATCGAAATTAACCTAAACTTAATTTCAAAAAGTTTCTAACACATACTGTATCGAGATTATTGTCGAATCTGTCGGATCCTACGTTGTAACCTAATAAGCAATTCTTACTTATATGTCAAATGAATATGAAGGAATTCTTGATTAATTGTCAAAATCAATGTCAAATGAATGACATTTGTCAAAATTTTCTAAGTTTATTTATTAAGATAAATGAACTTCGGGTACATCCCGTGCATGAGGTGTCCGATCTTAACCGTTGATCACAGCATAAAATGTATTTCGGTGGGCCTCATTTTATTATTATTTAAAAAAAATATATTGTGATCAACGATAGAGATCAGACACTGCATGGAATAAATTTTCCCGTTAAGGAGTTGTAATTAACGACCTTTGCAGTGTAATTGTATTTTATAGCATAACTAATCAACCATTATATTTAACTTTTCTGCTTAAGATTCTCATTTTATATATAATACATATGTTCTGCGCGCAGTTATCATTTACTTAGCCGGGAATTCATTGTCGTCCAAATGTACAAGGTAAAATAAATTAAATGCTAGATTTTTGTTTCTTTAGTTGTTTAGTTTAAAGAAAAATAAATGTGATGCAATATGTTGAGATATTTATATTTTTTTTGCTCTGCTATTTTTTTTAATGTATAAGAAACTCATCCCATTTGGATGAGTTTTAAATGCATTGAAATTATTAAGCATTGCTTGACTACGACAAGCACTGATCATTTGTTTTTGCCAACCACCGATCGATGCTTGTTGTTGCAAGTCGCCGTTTAGGGTCGCCACTGTCGGAGCGCATTTTCTGTCCTGACTTCTGACGTAGCTCTAAGTGCGGTGAAGATTATTATTGAGTTATTTTCAGGTTATTTATGGGTTATTTTCAATAATCCCGAAATAACCCAGAAATAACCCTTTTCAGGTTATGGGTTATTTTCAATAATCCCGAAATAACCCAGAAATAACCCAAAAATAAAGACCGTGGGTTATTTCTGGGTTATTTCTGGATTATTGAAAATTACCCATAAATAACCTGAAAATAACTCAGGAATAATCTCCGCCACATGTAGAGCTACGTCAGGAATCCGCACAGAAAATTAGGCCCTCTACGGCCTGCCATAGCCGCAATACCTAAAATACTTTGAAATAATAAAAAGCAAAAAGATAAACAGATAAATATTTTATAAGTAATTAAATGCCGCCAAAATATTATAAATTCACTCTGCAAAATAAGACTTATAATGTGGATAGATATGAGTCTAAACAAGCAAAAATCAAGACTTATAATGTGGTTGAAGATTTCAGGCTTTTAATTGCAAGTTCAACTAAACTCTGAATAATACATATTCATAATAAGATCAAGTGTCTCGACAAAACAAGTAAGAATTATGAAAATCTTAGAGCCGGCTATTGCCCACTTTTAAAATCTATATCTTTCATTAACGTGTTGCCAAAAAAAATTATGTAATTATTAAAAAATAAGTAATTTTAACGGATTATAGATTTTGTTACAAAATACCTTAAGAAAAATTTAAAAAAAAATTGAAAAAAAACATACATTAAACTTGTCTACCACAACGAAAATGATTGATTACCCTTCCGTGACAAAATTAAGTCAATATGTCGAATGTCAATTAATTTTGAAGCCATCCAGACACTTGAATACCAAATAAACATCATATAATTGAATGAATCAGCACACATTCTTCAACGAGTGTTTTGAGGTTTTATCTAAAATACCAAAATATTAAATTTATACTTAATATTTTGTGTATAATTTCCTTACATAGCATTTGGCCATCAATAAATTCTTATCATTTGATAAAAAAAAAAAAAAAAAATTGTATTGTAGCTCTTTGTTTTCTCTGCCTTAACAATAAGTTAAAGTTTGTTTGATAATGTGGAGCCATACTTTATTAATTTACATTTCAAAATAGTCTATGATTACATCAATGGTGTAAATAAACTTGTATATGAATATAAAATAAGCAATTTCCAACAAAATGTAAATTTCTAATAGTGTGAAATTGATTTGAAAATTGACATTGTGTTTATTATTGAGGGCTTATTTTAAGATGAAAAAAATTCACCCCTACAAAGAATAGAAAAAAAAAAACGTGTCGACCTAGTCCTCTGAAATTATGTAAAAAATTCATATTGGTCCCTTTTAAATGCCTAAAGTATGTATGATATTTTCTTAAATTCTTATTGATACGCTTATTAAAATAGAACTCGGATTTATTTTTTATAGAAATTTATTTGAGAAGTGCAACTTTACTTTTTTAGTCATTTATTTCATTATATTTATATATATAGATTTGTTTTTGATATTTTTTGTTGATGGTTGGATTGGCTTGATATTTTTTTGAAGCCATTTTGCAAGATATTTTGTTGATACTTATTTTGTTTGAGAAGTACAACTTGATTTTTTTTTATCATTTAGTTACATCTTATTCTTTAAATAGTTGTAGCTGTCTCTAACAGATCCTAAGATATTTAGTCATCTTTGCTATAAAAATATCAGAACATAATTTGCAAAGCCCATAATATGCTCAAAAACATATGAAAGAGGAAAAATATGCACTAAGGTCTTGAAATTTATTTGTAATAGATTTAAACACTAGATATTGTCCTCCCAAAATGGCTACATGGCCCTATATTTATAGATTTTTTAATAAATGAATAAGAATGTATTTTTAATATGATGGAAAATAGCTCTTACTAATGAGTGTAAGCGATGCACAGAGTGATATGGGTTAATGGTCTTGTAGGTTGTATCAATATTTCTAAATGCCTAGGTGAGTTACCGAGATCATTTGCAAGTCTGGGATGACCATTTACAAGTTATTCTAAAAGTGCGAGTCCTTTTTTGGTAATGGTAGTGTCCCATGACATGTGCAAATACCTTGAGCAAGTTTATATTTGTTCGGGAGAGAATTATGGTGGATCTTCATGAATATGCACCTCTTCATTTTGGTTTGCCAAGTTAATTTGTAATGTGTTGTTGTGGAATATATATAAAAATATAAGAATAATTGACGAAGAAAACGAAAAATAGAACGAGAAAAATTCATACCAAAAAATAGTAACACTGCGGAACACACAAATTTACGTGGTTCGGCAAATTGCCTACGCCCACCGACTTGCAGAGGATTTTGCTATTTGAGGAATTTACATCAGTGGGTCATCTCAGCTTACAAGGGGATCTCTCACTTCGTTGCTCTCTATTCTTCTCTCTCTACACATTGATACAATGAAGAAAAAAATCTTACAAGAGAAATAAACCCAATTTCTCTTCCGAAACAAGCCACCAAGAAAAAACCAATGGAGAAAAA